GGCAGGATATCCACGGATAAACGAATTCCGCGGATAATCCGCAAAATTAAATTTTATAATAAAAACTAAATTTGAAATTGAAAATTATTATTATTATCGAGGGTCTAGTATTAAAGGAACATAACATAATGTGTATTAATAAAGCGTATTTTACGTCGTTATCGAGTTATCGACTATGACAAATTCACAACCCAATTAAACCTATTATGATTTATAATGGAAAGATACAATACGTATATATTTTTTTGTATACATATAGGTATGTAGACGATTCCGTGGAAGAGAGCGGATAATCGGGAGTACACTGTATATTACTCACAGGGATGAGGACTACAAATATTTATATTTGAATTATTATTATTATTAATATTTTTTTTTTTCAATGCGTCGCCTGGAGTATAATACACTTATCGGTACTGGTTTGTTATAGCCCGCTGCGAGTGAACACTTTATAGACCCGCCACTCAGATTTGTTATCACCCCGCCATCCATATGACAATAAATACCTTGTATAAATATAATATAATCCGACGGAAAATACGTACCATTACTATTAGGTGGCTACCATAGGTGTTTATCACAAATAATCAATAGGGATGCGTGTAGCCACTGTTATAGGTTATTTAGTAAAATAATTAAATATGCTTTAAATATTTGTTTAATGTTGTGCTGATTTTCCCGGTTTTTCCCGGAAAACTCCTGAGAAAATGGAAAGATGATTTCCCTTAAATATCTCTCCAGGCGGATTTCCTTTTGGAAAATCTCTCAGCTTTATCGTAAATAATATTAATGTCGGATTTAAAATCCGAAACAGAATTTAAACTGTAGGCATATACATGTTCTAAAGTGTAGCTGTACTACAACGAAAAAAAAAAATCATTAGGTATAGGAAAGAAAATCGTAAGAGTAACATACACTATAGGTATGCCTATACACACCTACCTACCTACTCGGTGGTATATTTTATATAGAATTCATTATACGCATAATGGGACTGGTTCCTCGCCTCGTATATTCACCGGTCCCTTTTCTTAGCTATAGCAGCACGAATCAAATAATAGTGTGTTTCCGGAATCACCGTCATACCGGCGCCATTACAATAATGTCTACTACACATTTTATACATTTGTATTGAACAGGTAAAAAGTGAGGAAAAAAATGTCTACATCGGCCACCCAAATTGCCGAAAATAATATCGTTGTATCATCAATAGTGACATTTCTTTTTCGATCAATAATTTTCGCTAAATTAATTTTTACTTGACCTCAATTATGCTTTGTCAACAATATTCATGTCATATAATTGTAAAACAAAGGCATTATAAATTATCTTTGGTAATATTTGTTTAATATTCAGATTTTCCGGTTTTTCCTACATTTTTCCTGGTTTTCCTATGTTGTCTTCTGGTTTTTCACATTTGATGGAAGAACTCTAGAAAAAATCGAAAAATTACCTACTCGAAGTACCTCCCCAGTGAAATTTTCATTTAGAAAAATTGCTATCATTAAAAGTTTGAACAAAATTGCTGACAGAAAAGGTTGCCCATGGGAAAAAAATAATCGTAATAGTATACAAATATATTTTGTATATTTTCCCGTTTTTTTTTCGGGTTTTCTCATTTTATCAGAAAACTCTTGAGAAAATTTAAAAATTACCTTGCCAAAGTACTGATTAGACCTACAATACATGGTGTTGCTTCTCGGCAACAACCGATAAAAAAGGTTATAATCAGATATTTATCTGTGTTAGTGTATATTAGCTTTAATCATAACCAAGTATGATAATATATTACGTAATTTACTTTCAAACCGATAGATAGCAGTATATGATAAGACTAAGCTTACGGATCACTCGCTACCGCCCTCGTTATTGACTGCAGTCCCCGAAATTACACTTGACCCGATAGTGGTGGGAGCTCTAGGTGAGGTGCGGCGTGGGGATGCTTAAGAATGACTGGTTTTCGTCGAGGCTCTTTACCGTGCTTTCGTGAAAAATAGTATATGTAATAATTCAAATGTGTATAATTTGACTAATTTTAGATATCTATAAATTATAATATGAAAACATTTAAAAAAAAGTGTCAAGTTGGATTATGTGTTTAAGTTGTTAAATATCGTATGACTTATTTATGTAAAATTAAAATATATTAATTTATTCTATTTTTCGTAGTTGCAAATGCATAATGTTGCTCTACAGCAACAACCAACTTTTTAAACTTTTTCAACTCTTGAAATTAAAATAAATTTTTAAATAATTTTTTACGTATCCTACAGCTTTAGAACTATCCAAAAACAATTTTTTAATAATAAACAAAAAAAATCATGCATTGTAGGGTTAAGATAATATTAAATTTAAAACTCAATATTATTTAACCGTAGTTATTTATTATTACTTTTTACTGTTTCGGTTTATTATTAATTTAACGACATCAGTGGAATTCGTAATTAGAGCTCTTCAATTATTGTTCTATTTCACCTTGAAAACGAATAACAACAAAATTAGTAATCTCTCAGCTTACTGGTAAATAATATTAATGTCGGATTCAAAATCCGAAACAGAATTTAGACTGTAGGCATATACATATTATAAAGTGTAGTTGTACTACAACGAAAAAAAGAACCATTAGGTATAGGAAAGAGAATCGTAAGAGTAACATACACTATAGGTATGCCTATACACACCTACCTACCTACTCGGTGGTATATTTTATATAGAATTCATTATACGTCTAATGGGACTGGTTCTTCGCCTCGTATATTCACCGGTCCCCTTTCTTAGCTATAGCAGCACGAATCAAATAATAGTGTGTTTCCGGAATCACCGTCATACCGGCGCCACTACAATAATGTCTACTACGCATTTTATACATTTGTATTGACCAGGTAAAAAGTGAGGAAAAAAATATTTACATATATTGAAATATATTATGGCCTTTTTTTTTTTTGTGAACAACTATTCTAATTTCTGGTATGATAAGTCAACTTCTTCATGTCCCTTAAGGGGTTAAAGTTAATAGAAAAGGGGTAGTTTGTACGTTAATTTGTTTGAATTTTAAACATATAAAATATTTATAAAATCTTAAAACTTTATTATAGTAAATAAGATTTCCTACATAATAAATTTCTTTAACATTTCGGTGAAACTTACGGTTATAAGAAAAATCAATTTAAAAGTTGGTAAATTTGAAATTCTGCATAATCTTGAATTTTCTATTACAAATCTACGAACTTTTAAAATTAAACGTAAAAACCCAAAAACATCCCCCTTTTACAAACTTTAACCCTTTTGCCTTTTTGAGGCACGTGAAGGGGTTACCCATTTATCTTACCCAAAATTTACAAAAATTATTTTTACAAGGTACCTAACCAAATTTCTAGCCATGGCACAAAATTATCGAAGTTCAAAAATAAGGACCAACTTAATATATAATAATTTATTGACCATCTAATAATGTTTTAAATATAGGTACAGTAAAAAAATATAAATTATAAGTATAATAGCCAAATAATCCATAATTTATATAAATATAATAAAAATAGTATATATGTCCTTTATAGATTTAAGAACTACTGTAGAGTTTTTTTCTATTTGCTGCTTTACTTGCAAATCAATACTTAATACGAAATGTGCAAATATGAATACAGAAACCACAGAATGCATGATGACAAAGGGATCTCATTGGACTGTAAGAATTGTACCAAACATTGTAACGTACGAAAACGACCATTTTTCGTTATCGTAGGATAAACGTACCTACAATCAATATAGTCGACCGGTTAATATATTACGCCCGCGGCGACGGATATGTTATGTTATCGTAATCAATAACCCCTCCGCGAAAAGGTCTAAGCGATCGCAATCTTTCGTAATTTACAATAATATTATATTTCTAACTACGGGTTAACGGCCAATCATAACACGTTTAAGTGATGCTCTACACCAGTTCACTGGTAGTAAATCTGATCTCCACCCGGTGAAATTCTTGCAACAATTAAATCAATATTTCGCCCATCAAGTTATAGACGATACCCAGAAGAAAGGTATTTGTCAACACTGTTTATATGCACTTGCAAGAACATTGTTCGATTCATTAGTACCCTGTCCCGATACCTATATAGAGTTAGTCAATTAGTTGTTCTCCCCATATAATTATAAATCCCCTCAAGAATCATGCTATGGCTTGAGTTGCCAAAGCAAAATATTTATCTCCCCCTGTAAATTCATATGATCTTGTAGGGATCATCACCCAACCTTTTCCCACTGCTTTAGGTATGACTATTCGTGGCAGAGATCCAAAAACCACTAATGAACTTATCACTGTCCTAACCGAAATATCATAATTGGAAAAATAGTTATAATATTATGATTATTTTATTACCCTGTGTTATAATTATTATCGACTATTTGGTTACTCGTTATTATAAGTTTTCACACGTTTCAGGAGAATTTAAAACGGCTGTTACTTAGAGATTGTCTATAAGATATGAATGTGTGATACATTTTTTAACATTTTTTTGTGTTTTGGTGATGAAAATACAATTTGAATTTTTCTTCAATGCGATGTCCCCCTCGAAGACAAACAGGTTGAAACAAAAATTTGACAGAGTTATTAGCATAATGATAACACTATAGGCCACTCTGTTTATTTATTCCAATTACTCAGTTATCCACGTCTAATTTTTTTAATATAAAAATATAATAATCTCATAATTATACTTGAAGTTGCAGGAAATTATGCCGACGATAGGTACATCTATTGTGTTATTATAGTGTATTCGTATAGGTATTTTATATTTTGTAACAGTAGAATATAGGTTTGTATATTATGTGAATACATAATAATGTAATAAAAGACAATGATGTAAGATGAATAATAAAATTTTATATTATGATCGTATTGTTATTTAAATATGATTGATTATCTTATAAAATATTGTAAAATGATTCATATAATTATGTATTATGATATCGTATACGTTGATGATGACTGAATGGCCCAATCAGTTAATACCGAGCTTGTCCATAACATCTTCGTCATATGTTCCATCATACCTATTTGCCTTATACCTCCCGATTGGCATCCGGATCTTGGTGAGTCTATTTGAGGTTGTAGGTCTCGTAGTAGGTATCGAAATGTCCAGTGTGTTGGCGGATGTCGAATTGCTCGGTGTGTTTGCAGGTATCGGAGTGATCGATGTGTTTGCAGGTATCGGAGTGCTCGGTGTATTTGCAGGTATCGGAGTGCTCGGTGTATTTACAGGTATCGAAGTGATCGATGTGTTTGCAGGTATCGGAGTGCTCGGTGTATTTGCAGGTATCGGAGTGCTCGGTGTGTTTGCAGGTATCGGAGTGCGTGGTTTTGGTGTTACAAGTCGTTTTTCTTCGGTGTTTACTTCAAGTTCATCTAATTTATAAAAAGCACAAATTAATTTTTAGAAACGAAGTAAACTAAATTGAGTTTTTGTGTTATCTATATATGTATATAAATACAGTGCTTTAATGTATTTAAATAAGAGTATTTAACTATTTTTTTCTAAAAACGATAATATTTTTAAATTTGTATGTTAAAAGTATAATTTTTGTATATAGTTATGTGATTAACATTTAAGATAGATTATCTAACCAAAATTTGCGCTAATTCAAGTTACCTGTATAAAAAATCTCATAACACCCGTGAAATCATAAGGTACCTATTATGCATGTTGCTTAAAATATTATTATTTTAATTTTTTTCTTTTTTATTAACTAATAAAATTACACCCATTGGTTATTCATGTACGTACCTGTATTCGGTATCTCGACTTCGACAATCTCGACAAAACATGGCTTGGCACGCATGCACGGCGTGGCAATCAAAACCAGCATTGTAATCGTAAGTAGTTGAATATTACGAGCATTCATGGTGAACGACAAGGATCTCAGGATAATAAAAATATTAAAAACGTAATAGTTGCGAATAAAAGTGACAAAACAACACTAAACGTCCGAACTGCTTCTTGGCCACTTTTATAGGCAAGTACGTACTCGTCAAAGTGGGCGTTACAGTAATAGTGAAACGTGTGCAATGCTCGATAGTACCGCCGCCGTCGTAAAAAGGCGTAACCACGCCCCCTACTGTGCTGTCTCGACAACCAGTTCGTGGGGTTTCGGTTTTGTGCGGTTGAGCGTGTTACCTATTGTTTTATGACTTGTGAGCGGTCGCGTTCATAGCAGATAACTGTTTAATAAAAATGTTAATGATAATAAAAAGGGGTGTAGCAATACTGGATACCCATAACATCCTAGAGATGCATTAAATTTGAAAATTGTCAAAGTTACTCTTCCCCCCCCTGATTTTTACTGATTGACTTGACTAACAAACAAATATCGTACCTATCGAATTCCTATCGAACTAATATTTTGTTATTTTTTTGAATTTATAAAGTGTTTTAAACGGGACAGGCCCAAATACATAATATGTTACAATTAAAATCGTTCATTATAATTAATAATATTATTATAATACTTAATACATTA